GCTACGTAGCTGTGGTTTGGTTACAGTAAACATACATTCGTCTAAAATTAATTTTCTTATTGGCCTATTCATTTTGACTAACCCTGTATATAGACCTTCCTTTGTATTAGTTTAGCTTAAAATCCCCCCACAGACCAGTCTTAGTTGGTTTATTTCATTTCCTTGTATAGACCTCTATTCTGGATTCCTCCCTTTTCTACAGTCACTAGAGGCTTGGGGCATTGTCTGGTGATCTTAGGCCAAGCAGTCCAAAAACAGGGATTATTGGCACATGCATTTAGCAGTATCATTATATCAACTTTCCAAAGAACAACATAAGCTTTTGGCCAGCCTAAGTTTCACAGGAAAGAAGATTAAGACAGTTTATAAGCAACAATTTGTAATCCATCGCTTTGCATCAGAGACAGAAGATTCCAGAGAGATTATTAGAACCAGCGAAATCTCCTTTTGTAATGTATTGTTTTAAGTTAGCTTATGATAGTTCCAGGTGGAGTTAACTCTTTACTCATCTTGTTTTCAGTAAACTCATATGGTTATCCTGCCTAAAGTGCCTCTGTGTTACAGGGTCTTAATCTTAACAGAAGGTATCAGATAGTCCCCGAGTTAAAGCCAGACAATATAGTTTTCCCAAAGGTTCAAGTGTGCCATCACAATGTTCCTCCTAAGAAAAGACCTGCTGAATCAGTCCAAAGGTGTATGTATTCCAGCATCCTGTTTTTCAACAGTTGCCAGTCAAATTCTTCTGAGAAGGCTACAGTTAGGACACGAAGGCAAAAGTATTGGTTTGTGAGTAGTCAAGTAACCTGACAATTTATGGTAACCCTGTGAATTTCATAGAGTTTCCCTAGGGCCCTTCCACACAGCCCTATATCCCAGAATATGAAGGCAGAAAATCCCACAATATCCGCTTTGGGCTGGGTTATCTGAATTCACATTGCCATATATTCCAGTTCAAAGCAGATATTGTAGGATCTATATGGCTGTGTAGAAGGGCCCTTGGACACCATCAGGCACCTTTGCATCATATGCTAGTGTGGCGTAATGGTTTGAGTATCAGACTACAGCTGATGGGAGACCAGGGTTCGAATACCCACTCAGGCATGGGTATGGGCAACACACACACTCAGCCTCAGAAAACCCCACAATAGGTTTGCCTTAATGTCGCCTTAATAGGAAATGATATGAAGACACATAACAACAATTCAGCTTTTAACACTGGAAGCTGTAGATCACCACCAATGGTTTTCCCTTCTGTTTAACATCTGCACATTAGCCTGTTAACTGGCGTATTGCTTGGTCTTGAATTTCCCTTTGCTAGAGTGTTTTGCTTTTACTGTATTGTATAAAATGTTATTTGACTTTATAAAGCTCCTATCTTAGATAACCGGTGATGCCTGGGTTGGGATTTTTATGAGGATAAACATCAGAAAAAGTAATAAAAAAAAAGAATGGACCCATTAGAAAATGCATAAGAAAGTACAATTCCAACATCATCATCATAGATAGGTACAGGTAGAGTATGCCATCCTGGTGGGTATGGTACAGAATAAAAATGGATCGTCTGTCTGTCTATCTATCTATCTATCTATCTATCTATCTATCTATCTATCTATCTATCTATCTATGCATATGGGTTGCTGTGAATTTTCTGGGCTTTATGGCCATGTTCCAGAAGCATCTCTCCTGACATTTCACCCACATCTGTGGCAGGCATCCTCAAAGGTTGTGAGGTCTGTTGGAAACTAGGCAAGTGAGGTTTATTTCTGTGGAATGTCGTGGGTGGGGGAAATAATTCTTGTCTGTTTGAGGCAAGTGTGAATGTTGCAATTGGTCACCTTGATTATCATTGAATGGCATTTTAGCTTCAAAGCCTGGCTGGTTGCTGCCTAGGGATCCTTTGTTGGGAGGTGACCCTGATTGATTCTGGTCTGGAATTCCCCTGTGTTTTGAGTATTGCTCTTTATTTACTATCCTGATTTTCAAGTATGTATGTATATGTGTGTGTGTGTGTGTGTGTGAGAGAGAGAGAGAGAGAGAGAGAAAGAAAAATATATATGTATATAGATTTATAGTCAATATGAGAAATCTGTATATAGATTTATGTATGAGAAATCTATACAAGTATATAGATTTATATCTCTGCATATATATAGTAGCATTATATTCAGTTCTTTTATATGTGCATATATGTGTATACAAATATTTATCTCTGTATATAGATTTATATCTATGTGTGTATATATAGTAGCATTATATCCACTTATTTCATATGTAAATATATGTGTATATATAGAGATGTTTATTTCTGTATATAGATTTATATATCTGTATGTACACATAGGAGCATTATATTCGGTAATTTCATATGAAAACATTTGTGTGAATACAGATATTTAACTCTGTATGAAGATTTATATCTCTCTGTGTACATATAGCAGCATTATATTCAATATTTCATATGTAAATATATGTTTATCTCTGTATATAAATTTATATCTATTAGTGTGTGTATATACAGTATACACGCACACATATATAGCAGCATTATATTCAATATTTCATATTTAAAGATATATGTATATATAGAGAGAGATATTGATCTCTATATAGATTTATATCTATGCATGTATATATAGTAGCATTATATCCAGCTATTTCATAAGTAAAGTATAGAAATGTATATAGATTTATATCTATATGTGTATATATAGTAGCATATTCATATATTTCATATGTAAATATATGTGTACATAGATATCTCTGTATATAGATTTATATCTGTGTAAATATAGTATTATATTCAGCTATTGCATATGTAAAGATATGTGTCTATTTAGAGATGTTGATCATAGATTTATATCTGTGTGTGTATAACAGCATTATTCAGTTTTTCCCTATCTATAGATGTGTATGCATGGATGTTGATCTCTGTATAATAATAATATGCATATCCATTTATGTATATAGTAGTGTTATTCATTTCTTTCATATACAGATATATGAATGAATATCTATGTGTCTGAGATATCTATATATGTGAGAGATATCTAAATATGTATTTAGATTTAGATATATTTATGTGTGTATTGTCGCAGTATTCACATTTTTTATTTATATGGATGTGTACATACAGATATATCTCTTTGTATATAGATTTATATCTATGTGTGTAGATATAGTATTATATTCAGATACTTCATATGTAAAGATATGTCTATATAAAGATGATGATCATAGATTTATATCTGTGTGTGTATAGTAGCATTATTCATTTTTCCCCTATCTATAGATGTGTATGCATGGATGTTTATCTCTGCATAATGATATGCATGCATATCCATTTGTGCATTTAGTAGCATTATTCAGTTCTTTCATATATAGATATATGAATGAATATCTATGTGTCTGGGATATCTATATATGTGAGAGAAATCTAAATATGTATGTTTGTGTGTGTGTGTATTGTTGCAGTATTCAAAAATTTTATTTATATAGATATGTGTGTATATCTGTGTGTGTATAGTAGCATTATTCAGGTTTTTTTTCCCTATTCATAGGTGTGTATGCATGGATGTTTATCTCTCTGTTTATCTCTGTTCTTTCATATATAGATATATGAATGAATATCTATGTGTCTGGGATATCTATATATGTGAGAGAAATCTAAATATGTATGTTTATGTGTGTGTGTGTGTGTGTATTCATAGAYGTGTATGCATGGATGTTTATCTCTGTATAATGATATGCATGCATATCCATTTGTGTATATAGTAGCATTATTCAGTTCTTTCATATATAGATATATGAATAAATATCTTTGTGTCTGGGATATCTATATATGTGAGAGAAATCTAAATATGTATGTGTGTGTGTGTGTATTCATAGATGTGTATGCATGGATATTTATCTCTGTATAATGATATGCATGCATATCCATTTCTGCATTTAGTAGCATTATTCAGTTTTTTCATATATAGATATATGAATGAATATCTATGTGTCTGGGATATCTATATATGTGAGAGAAATCTAAATATGTATGTTTATGTGTGTGTGTATTGTCGCAGTATTCAACATTTTTATTTATATAGATGTGTGTGTATATCTGCGTGTGTATAGTAGCATTATTCAGGTTTCCCCCCCCCCCCTATCTATAGATGTGTATGCATGGATATTTATCTCTGTATAATGATATGCATGCATATCCATTTGTGCATTTAGTAGCATTATTCAGTTCTTTCACATATAGATATATGAATGAATATCTGTGTGTCTGGGATACCTATATATGTGAGAGAAATCTAAATATGTATGTATGTTTGTGTGTGTGTGTGTGTATATATATAGTCGCAGTATATATCTATGTGTCTGGGATATCTATATATGTGAGAGAAATCTAAATATGTATGTTTGTGTGTGTGTGTGTTGTTTATGTGTGTGTGTATATATATATATATAGTTGCAGTATATATCTATGTGTCTGAGATATCTATATATGTGAGAGAAATCTCAATATGTGTGCGTGTGTATAGTCGCAGTCTCCAAAATGTGAATGAATAATACTACTACAAAAGGGGGGTCTGCAGGGCACAGCCGCAGCCTCCCGCTTAAATCACAGGCGGCCGCACGGAGGAGGCAGAGCGCATGCGTGAGATTCACAACCCATCTCTCGTTTATAAATAACACGCCAGTGAAAGAGAGAGAGAGAGGGAAGGAAATACTACGCCATGCCTCTCAACCAACCCTGGGTGCCTCCCCGTCTGGCTTTCCACATCCCCCCTCCCTTTTCCCCGAGCATCCTTTGAATGATAGGTAGATGCGCCAATGGGATGGCCGAAACCCCCTTCCAAAGGTAAGCGTTGTGATCTTGAGGTGCTGAATGAAACGGGCGGGGCGGGTTTGGAATGCCGCGCTAGTAGGTTAGGTTGCTCCCAAAGCGGGAGCGCGAGAGAGAGGGAGGGAGGGAGATAGAGATAGAGAGTGAGCGCTTTTCCCCACACGCATGCGCACTCGCTGATTTTTCACCACACACACTTCTCTGCTCGTCAGTGCGGCTGGGGCTGGCGGTGGGGCTGGTCCACGCATTGGCGCCGTCACGTGTTTTGCTCCTCAGAGTGAGACGGAGGGGGCTGGCCTCCTGAACACGCACTCTCCCTCGCTCGCACTCACTCACTCACACATACACAGAGCCGCTTGTTTTGGTTTGGGAGCGCGCACAGGCGGAGGAGAGGGCTCCCTTCAGGAGGAGGAAGGAGAGGAGGCACTACTGCTGCTGCTGCTGCTGCAAGACGAAGGCCCTGCTCTCCTTCTGCTGCTCTGAGACTGGAATGAAGAAGAGGAAGAGAAAAGTGGACGAAGAAGACGCAGAAGATGTGCCTCCTTCTCCTCAGCCTCCACTCCTCCTTTCCGCCTCCTTCTCCATTCCCCCCTTCGCTCGCCTCTGCCTGCTGCTGTTCCTGCTGCTTACCTCCTCCTCCTCTTCCTTTGGGGAAAAGAGCACTTTCCCTTCTTCCTAACCAGACGGGACTGAATGGGGTCGACCATCACAAACTGAAGAAGAACCCGCTCTGAAATATTATTATTATTATTATTATTATTATTATTATTATTATTATTTGAGGATTTTTGCTGTGCTTCTTTGGATTCCCTCCCTTACCAGAAGGATTTAATTATTTAACCTTGGTGCTGTTTGGACTTCTTGGTTTCACTATTATTATTATTACTATCCGGGAAGAAAAAAACATTTTGCCACTTGTTTGGTCTTGGTGCTGTTGGACTACTTGGGTTTGTTTTCATTTTTTTCATTATTATTGCTATTTTTTTTTAATTGGAAAAAGGGTTACCTGTGTTCAAGTTAAAGACTTATTTTATTCTTTTGGCAAAACAAGCTCTCTCTCCACCTCCTTCTTTCCCTCCTTTCCCTCCCAAGAGGATATTGGATCCCAAATTGGTTCCTTTCTGAAGGGTAACTTGAGAAGAAGGGGGTTGTTTGTTTGGGAGAGAGAGAGGCGACAGGGGAAACCCTGATGGCTCCCTTCGCGAGAGGAATTTCCACTCCTGTTTGGATGAAAGGATGCCCTGCTCTGTTTGCTCTGAGGCTGCTGCTTGTACCAGACTTTCGTGGGGACTTCTGAAAGCCACGTTTCCCCCAAGAAGGTTGATTTGGAACTAAAACACAAAAACCAGCAGCACCTAACTCAGCAGAGGCTCTGAACAGCTGCTCTCTGCTTTACCACTCTTCCCATTTTGGAGCTTTATTATTGGTTTGTTTTGTTGTTGTTGTTCTTGCGAGGCTGCTGCATGAATGGTATTTTGGACTGCTACTGCTGCTGCATTCGTTCTCCGTTGTCTCTCTGCTGATTTGGAAGCTGCCCTTTGCCAGCGGAGCTGCAGTGCCGCCTGCCTGCTTCCAGCATGGCGAGCCCCACCGATCCTCATCACCACAGCGAGGGCTTCTTCTCCGATGTCAGGAAGGTGGGCTACTTGCGCAAACCCAAGAGCATGCACAAGCGCTTCTTCGTGCTGAGGGCAGCCAGCGAGTTGGGACCTGCCCGCCTGGAATACTATGAGAATGAAAAGAAATGGAGACACAAATCAGGGGCCCCCAAGCGCTCGATCCCTCTGGAGAGCTGCTTCAACATCAACAAGAGGGCGGACTCCAAAAACAAGCATCTGGTGGCTCTCTACACCAAGGATGAGCACTTTGCCATTGCTGCTGACAGTGAGCCTGAGCAGGAGAGTTGGTACCAGGCGCTGCTGCAACTGCACAACCGAGCCAAGAGCCACCATCACCAGCACCATCACCACCACCACTACCATGGGGATGTTACTGTGGGGGGTGGGAATGTTGGAATGGGAGAGGCAGGAGAGGATAGCTATGGTGACATGGCTCCTGGCCCAGCGTTCAAAGAAGTTTGGCAAGTGATCTTGAAACCCAAAGGTTTGGGCCAGACTAAGAACCTGATTGGCATCTACCGCTTGTGCCTAACCAACAAAACCATCAGTTTCGTCAAGCTGAACTCTGACGCGGCAGCGGTGGTGCTGCAGCTGCTCAACATCCGGCGGTGTGGCCACTCGGAGAACTTTTTCTTCATTGAGGTGGGGCGCTCTGCGGTCACTGGACCAGGTGAGTTCTGGATGCAGGTAGATGACTCAGTAGTAGCACAGAATATGCACGAGACCATCTTGGAGGCTATGCGGGCAATGAGTGAGGAGTTCCGACCTCGTAGCAAAAGCCAGTCTTCTTCTAATTGCTCCAATCCTATTTCTGTGCCTCTCCGGAGCAGGCATCATGTCAACAACCCACCGCCCAGTCAGGTGGGGCTCAGCCGTAGGTCTAGGACAGAAAGTGTGACTGCTACCTCCCCTGCTGGCAGTGGAGTGGGAGGTGGGGCAGGGGGAAAGCCCAATTCTTTCCGTGTCCGAGCATCCAGTGATGGAGAAGGCACTATGTCAAGGCCAGCATCAGTGGATGGAAGTCCAGTGAGCCCAAGTGCCAATCGGACTCACTCGCACAGGCACCGCGGCAGCTCCAGACTTCATCCTCCTCTCAACCACAGTCGCTCCATCCCAATGCCTTCCTCACGTTGTTCTCCTTCTGCCACAAGCCCCGTCAGCCTCTCATCCAGCAGTACCAGTGGTCATGGCTCCACCTCAGACTGCCTGTTTCCACGCCGGTCCAGTGCTTCAGTCTCAGGCTCCCCCAGTGATGGGGGCTTCATCTCCTCTGATGAGTATGGATCGAGTCCTTGTGACTTCCGCAGCTCCTTCCGAAGTGTAACCCCTGATTCTCTGGGACACACACCACCTGCCAGGGGAGACGAGGATCTTAACAACTATATATGCATGGGAGGGAAATCTGCCTCTTCCTGCTGCAGCATCACAGCTTCTAATGGGCAATTTGCCCCACGCCCTTGTCACCCTCAGCAGCAGACACGCTATACTCCTTGCTGTCCCCGGCTTGGCAGTGAGGATGTGGGTGATGTGGAGAAAGGTTTTAGGAAACGGACACATTCAGCTGGAACTTCTCCTACCATCTCCCACCAGAAGACCCCCTCACAGTCTTCAGTAGCTTCCATTGAAGAGTATACCGAGATGCTCCCCTCATATTCCTGTGGTGGTAGCAGGCTCCCTTCTTTTCGACATTCTGCTTTTGTGCCAACCCATTCTTACCCTGAAGAGTGTATAGAAATGCATCAAGTGGAAGGCAACCACCGCCGGACTAACTCTACCCCACACACTGATGATGGCTACATGCCAATGTTGCCAGGAGTTGCTCCTGTGCCCAGTGGTGGTAATGCTTCCAAAGGTGGTGATTATATGCCCATGAGTCCCAAGAGTGTGTCAGCCCCACAGCAGATCATCAACCCTGGAAGAGGAGGCCGCCATGTCCAAGCCATGGTGGACTCCAATGGCTACATGATGATGTCTCCAAGTGGCAGTTGTTCTCCAGATAGTGGTCCCAGTGGTTACAGCAAACTGTGGCTGAATGGGACGAGTCATCACCCCAAACTTTCGGTGGAGAGCAATGAGGGGAAGCTGCCAAGCAGTGGCAGTGATTACATTAACATGTCTCCAGCTAGTGGCTCTGCTACTAGCACCCCTCCAGATTGCTACTTCACTGGCTCAGGAACTCCAGGCCCAGAAGAGCCATCAGTGCAGGGTCCCACCCAGTCCCACCACAAGCCCATCTATTCCTACTTCTCCCTGCCACGCTCCTTCAAGCACATGCAACGCAGGACAGGTGAAGAGGGAAATACTCAAATGCGCCTGTCCTTTAGTTCTGGCCGCTTGCTTTATGCTGCTGCTGAGGACTCTTCCTCATCCACTAGTAGTGATAGCCTTGGTGGCCCTGGGGGACAGGAGGGTGTTGGGTATTCTGTTCTTACACAGCCATTGCAGCAGCCCTCTCCTTGTCCTGTGGACTCAGCAGCGCTGACCAAGAGCCGTCTGGCCAGACCTACCCGTCTGTCCTTGGATGGCACAAAGGCCAGCACTTTGCCTCGTGCTCGGGAACAGCTTCCAGAGCCCAAAAGTCCTGGTGAGTATGTGAACATTGAATTCAAGCAGCCGCCCTTCCCATCACCTCTGCCTCATGGAGATACTGGCTCCAGTTCTGAGGAGTATATGAATATGGACTGGAGGGCTGCCTGCCCAGCCAGCTTAGCACCAGGGCAGGCAAGCCAGGGTGGGTCAGGCCACATTGGTGGCCGAGACTATAGGAGCATGCAGTTGGGTAGCGGAGGACACTATGTGGTTTGTGCCCGTACCCCTTCTCCTTCTCCTCCAGCTGTTCTTCTCAGTTATGCTGATATGAGGTTGGGTCGTGGTAGGCCAGAGAAAAACTCACCTCCTATTGGGCTGCCCTCCCCTCATCCTCAGGCCCAGCCAGGGGATTTGGATTCAGTTTTGCCCCACTCCTGTTCTTCATCCATGATTGGGGGCCCAGGGATGACCAGCGCCTTTACACATGTCAGCCTCAGCCCTAGCCACAGCACCCAGAGTGCCAAAGTGATCCGTGCTGACCCCCAGGGAGGCCGGCGACGCCATAGTTCTGAGACTTTTGTTTCCTCCACCACCCCTAGTGGTGGCCTGGGGGCCCCAGCTGTACCCCATGGACCTGGAGGGGGCTCTGATGATGTGAAGCGTCACAGCTCAGCCTCTTTTGAAAATGTCTGGCTGAAGCCCATATCTGGAGAGCTGGGATCTTCCTCTGGCCACCGTATGGCAATCAGGAGGGAGCAGATAGCTGGTGGGACTGGAGGAGGTACTGAAAATGGCCTCAATTACATTGACTTGGACTTAGTGAAGGATTTTAATCGCCACCAACATCCTCATCCTCAGGAGAGCACTTCCCTGCTAGGGGTCAAGCAGCCAACGCAGCAGCAACAGCAGCACCAGCCACCTAAATCTCCAAATCAGCCTTGTGGGAGTAGCCACTTGAGTGATGAATTAAGTGCATATGCCAGCATTAGCTTCCACAAGCGGGAGGACATCCAGTAGCTGGGCAGGAGCCAGAGACAAGGTGAGTGTGCTGTAATAAGCTAACAATTGTTTCATAGTGTGGGGTTCAGTAGTGGGAGAGATGGTGTGAAAGCTGCTTTGGATGATTAAAAGAGTCATTTCTCTTTAAGCATTTAATTAATACGCTGAATCTTGGAATATGGTTAGATCACGTTTTGCTATAGGTTATGTAATGTGTCTTTTCTTTTGTTCCTAGCTTTAGCGTATTGCCTTTAGACCATTTTCTACTCTCACTTCTGTCTCTTTTGTGTTGGTGTCTGGGGCGTGATTGGCATTTTAATTCTCATCAGCAGGGTTTACTATTAGAGGTATTACTAGATTCTGTTTATAAATTTGATATAGTCATAGTGGAAGCAAACCAAGTCCCATGACTTATCTACTGGTGAAGACAGAATGGCTATTAATACAAAGCAGAATCTCAGGCTGCTTACTATGTTGAAACCTGTTCCATTCAGAAAAAAAATGTATTAACCAAATACATCTGCGTGCTTTGTTTGATGTTTTTCTATGTAATGCCCATTTCAGTGGCATTTGTTCTTTGAAATTGAGGCAGTTGCACAAGGAAAGAAAATTGCAAAACAGTCAGCTGCTCAGAGGCCCAATAACAAGACATTAAATGGCATTCTTTGTTTATGTTTTGTAATGAAGCTGTTCTATTAAAACAAAATACTGTATTGTGCAGGACCTCTGAAATAGTTGTTTCTTAAGTATGTTCAAGTAAACATGTCTAGGCTAGGTGGTGGCATCGTTATCATTATCATAATTCTGTGTGGATGTTATCTTTATGAAATCCCTTAATCTACTTTTGGCAGAGTTTCTGAGAAGTGTCTTTATGAGTGTTGTATGTGTTTTCACCTTCAGAAAATTGAAGTTTCAAAGAAAGAAATTCTCTGTGTCCATATGCATGATTATATGTGAGTTTGTTCAAGAGTATGTGTTGCCCAGGAGCAAAAGGTCTGACTTACACTTAGAACATGGGAGCTAGAATTGGAAACCTCTACCATTGAATCCTTGGTGGAATATCTACTTAGGTGGCCTTGAAGTAGTTTTCCTGTATGAAAAATACATGCAGAATGGAACCACAAAGGATTTCTATGTGTATTCATTAGATAGTGTTTACATAGTGTTCTGTGTATGAAATATACGCTATTATACTAATGTAGAATATGTGTAAAGTTTTTTTATACTGCCAATAAAGGCTTTCTGTTTTGTTGCATTGAGCAAAAGTTGATTAATTAGCAGCTCTTAAATTGTAAATTAGGTGGAATTTCCATAAACTTGTCACATTGTAGATGTAGCAAAGAGAATGGTTTAGTTTTGTTTATGGTATGAGTCTGCATAAGAAAGAATAAAGCAATAATGAGGGGCTTTCTTAATGCCAGTTTTTTTCCAAAGCATGTGTACTGCCGATGTGAATATGGCTGCCACTCTTGCAAAGTGTTTCTTCCACCAATTATACTTGTCAAAACGTTGCTGTTCTGCACCGTGATGCCTCTGCTCCAAGCTTTGTATTGTCAGAGTCCTCATGATCCGAGCTGACCTCTTCCCACCCTTCCCCCTTACCTTTGATCCGTAGTAGTTACTGGTAAGACACAGAAAATGTTTACATTGGCACAGACGGAAGCAAATCCAGCAGCATGCTTTTTGATTTAAAATGTGACTTCTCCTGTGAGGTGCTTTAATTACTTGTTTGCTGGGTGCATACTGACAGTGTGGAGAGATGTGAGTTGTAAAGGCCCTTAGATTATGTAGGTGTAGTTTTCCTGTAGTTGAATTGGTTGGAATTGAGAATGAAAACTGAGTACTCTGAATCTCCAGTTACAACACAGTGGCATTCACTGTGAAAAACAAATCAAGTATTTGTTGTTGACTGAAAGATTATTACTGCTTTCCACTATGTAAAGAACCACAAATTGTCATGTTGCATATAAAAGTTTTCCTTTTGTATGTGTAGCAGGCTGGTTTTAACATTGCAGCATGCGAAGTGCAAATACTAGAGAAGGGATGGCTGTGTGTCCTGGTTTTTTTTAATACAGTGAATATGTTTTTCATGGCTCCTACCTTGACATTGACCGTAGTTGCAGTGACTTTGTTGAGGGCATAACCCTTAATTCAGTTATGGGTGGTCTCATTCTTTGGCTGTCTGTTTAGTTTAAATAGGATATCATGACACCACTAGATCTGAAGATTATGAATACTTCTCCCATTTTGTTTTTGATATTAGTCAGGGATCTGCAGTTCTAAAAAAATATGAGTGTTGTTACTACAGAGTCAGCTCAGTACTTAATTGTTCGACTATCCTCTGTCTTCCTGCTTTCTTGATTGATCATTCATGCTGCCATAAGATATTGACAAGTTACCCAATTATATAACTATTCATGCAAATCTAATGATGTATAGGGGTGCCTGGCTGATGACAGTGTAGAGATACTGATATGCTGTTCCTTGATGCTGTTCCATGCCTGTGTATTTTATGAATCAGTTGTGATTTTTAAAAGGAGTGTCCGATAAGCCAGTGATTATTGTTCCTTTGTTATATGGATCACTATAGGATCAAGTAAAAGACATCCCACATTTGCTGTAAGGATTCTGTACAGTTTCAATCTCCTTTCCCCAAAGTTTTGCTACTTTGTAATATCAAGATAACCAAACCCTGAGTTATAAGGGGCATGTTTTATACATTACTGGAAGGAGATAATCCAAATTCCAGGAAAATTCCAGTTTCTCTTCTCTCCCCTGCCCCCAGTCGGCGTATGGGATGCAAACTACTGTACTTGATTTCCTTGAGCCTAACACTCAACCTCAGTGTATAGTGAGGTAGCATCCTTATGCTCCTCTGGTGTGGAAGCTGTTTAGAGGCAGTATGAGGTATGGACAGTATGCATATTCAGACCTAATCCCTAGTTGTTGTAAGGGGAGAGGGATGAGACTGTTTTTATGAATGCTGGGGGTGTTTCTAAAGAATTAAGTAAGATTTTGCATACCCCAAGACGTATGTATCCCCTTTCTCTCCCTTGGTGCCCAGTGCCCCATATATATAGACCAGTAACTGTATCAAAGGGTAAAGTTGAGCATGTCAAGTTCATTAACAAGTTGGAACAAGGTATCTTCTGAAACTAGCAAACCCTCTTCCATTGCCATTGTATTTCATAGAATGGTTAATTTAAATGCATTTACCACGTGTCAAACACATACATTAAAATTCTACATACCCGACATGTGCCATAAAATAGCACAAAGAATGAAAAATACTTGTACATTAGAAGGAAAGTTAACAATATATCAGTACTGGGATTGGGGAAGTTCTTAATTTTGCTGTGTGCCATTTATCCTTAGATGGTAGAATTCTGTTACTATGATTTGTATTTTGCATTGTACATGTTGGGATTGGAGATAATGGAGTGATGTCTAACTCAACTGATCTTGGAACACAGAGAAGTTACTATTTTTGACTACAGTGTTCAGAATTCCCCAGGCTCTGCTTTTACCAAGGAAATAATTGTTGGCTCTTTAGTATACAATTCTTCTCAGACTTCTAAAATACCTTAAAATCAGGAGTATTTTTGTTTCTTTGTCCTCTTATGTTGCTCTTTAGTTGCTTTCTGAAAGGGGTTATTTTGTTCCCATTTTGTTTTTGTGCATGATGAAATTTGCTAGATATTGGCAATGTATGTTATGTGTATTTTGTCTGGGACACAAAACACTTTCAGTCTTTTAAATTATATTTCACTGTTCCTGGTTCTTTGAAACTGATAGCTTTTAGGTTGATTTGTATCTGAGTACATCCATATGTTCACCTCATTCAGCCGTAGAGAAAAATACAGTTCATAGCCACAGTACTGTTTCGGCTTGGAATGGAATTTGCTTACCAGTATAGTTTCGTTGACACAAAGAGTAAAACTCATTGTTGGTCACTTTATATTGTTGACTGCAAAGATGTTTGGTTCTCCGGTGCAACTTTATTTGGGTGAAACTGTAAAAAAGTGGTTTTTAACTCTAGGTATGCAAATATCACTAGGTATTTCTAATGGGGTTATCAAACAGGTACATTTTTTATATTTTTCTCATGCATCTGCATTCCATTGTTTCTCAGGGAACTCTTTATCAAGAAAATCACGTTTGGTTGCTCCAGAGTTGTTCTCTCTCTCTTTTTACAGTGGCAATTGTCATATTCACTGGAGTTAACAGGTATTACCTAAGGAAGCTAAAGAATTTCTGTAATGTTCTTATGAGCAAATAGTCCAGAAGTTAGTATATGATGCTGGTTATAAATCTACAGCACTGTCCTCTCCCACTTTAACTTATGAGCAGTGCAATGATTTAAGATGAAGGCTTTTTAAGGATTTAAATTGAACATGTTATACTTGTATGAATATAGCCTAAGTGAGCTTTTAACATACTTACTCTTCTTAACTCAGAAGAGGTGTGTGTTAGTTGATTTCCCCTCCCCTGATATGGCTGTATTATGCCCTCTGATCTTCTGAACCACAGCAATGAAGTATTCCTATGAATTCATGGGACTGTTAGAAGCTGACATGTGTTCTTGCTTTCCCTGTTCCCTCCTCCTTTTGGTACATGGTTTAAAAGCTCGTTTGTCTTTAAAACCAGTCACATCTCAGGGGCCATCTTGGGTATCATTCCAAGGGAAAATTAACAAAAGCACAAAACTATAAAATAATCAAAAAATGTGAACAATTCAGCTGAATAAGGATTTCAATTTAATTCAAATATCACACATACATAGCCCATCCTTATGCCTCTGAACCATTGTTTGGAGGAGGTGGTGCTATCTTATCAATAGGTAGGTATTTTAGCTTCACAAATAATGTATCACTTTTGGGACAAAGGCCATACCTGTTTTTTCTTTACATGGTGAAAAGTATTTTACTGATAGCAGAAAGAAGATAAATCATGCTGGAAACATTTGACTATCCAGAAGTACTTGTCTGTCCAGCATCAGCAAGAACTGGGTTGGTTGGCAAGTACAAGCAGTCCCTGAGT